TTGCCGATCTGAGTCAATCTAGCTATGTATGTCTGTCCGTCCGTCTGTCCATGCTAAATTGTAATCACGCTACAGATTATGGTCTGATCCGCTCAAAATTTATTGAAATTGCATGGGGCTGGGGTCAAGGTCAGAATAGAAGCCTATTTTTGGGGAAGATGATTGAAAAATATTTGAAATGAACCCAAAACGGAAAAGTTCTTGACGTAATTGCTCTAGAATTCACAATAATATACCAATCGATTCAGAATTTTGCACAATCCTATCAATTTGGATGGTAATCGAATAAAATGTAGCTGCTAAAATAGAACATAACTTTAATGTTAAATAAGTAAAAAAATATTAAGTTCGACCGGGCCCTTCACCTTAGAGTAAAGGAAACATTAGAACCTTTTATGACCCACAAATACCAATTTTTAGACAGATTCATGGGAAAATGTGGAAAAAAATCATCAAAATAGGGAATAACGGGAGTTACCGCTATATGGGGCTATGCAAAAACGTGGACCTATACATATAATGTTTCGCCACCGGAGGTAGAACCCATTATTAAAAAAAACAATTTTTAGACAAATCCATGAAAAAAGTGTGACAAAAACCATCAATATACCGAATATCGGGAGCTACCGTTATATGGGGGCTACACCAAATCGTGGACCTATATATGCAATGTATCGCCACCGAAGCTAGAACCCATTATGACCAACAAATACCAATTTTAAGACAGATCCGTGAAAAAAATTTGACGAAAATCATCCAAATACCGAATATCAAGAGGTACCATTATAGGGAGGCCATAGCAAAGCCTGGACCAATACATGCAATGTTTCGCCATACGAACTAGGACCCATTATGACCTACAAATACCAATTTTCAGACAAATCCGTAAGAAAAATGTGGCAAAAACCATCAAAATACTGAATATGGGGAGGTACCGTTATATGGGGGCTATACCAAAACGTGGACCTATAGATACAATGTTTCTCCATACGAACTAGGACCCATTATGACTTAGAAATACCAATTTTCGGACAAATCTGTGAGAAAAACGTGGCAAAAACCATCAATATACCGATGATGTGGGCTGTATCTTGATTTCAACAGACACACCAGACCTTGGGTTAATAAAAACATTGTGATGTGTGTAATGTAAAGGCAATCGGACACTTCAATCATATTTTATAAAAGTTATAATTATTCAAAATTTTGACCCTTTGTGGGGGAGGTACTTTGCTTCTCACCTGACCAAGCACTGAGGCAAATATTAGGAGAATATATATATATATATATATATAATATATATATATATATATATATATATATATATATATATATATATATATATTCTCCTAATATTTGCCTCAGTGCTTGGTCAGGTGAGAAGCAAAGTACCTCCCCCACAAAGGGTCAAAATTTTGAATAATTATAACTTTTATAAAATATGATTGAAGTGTCCGATTGCCTTTACATTACACACATCACAATGTTTTTATTAACCCAAGGTCTGGTGTGAAGGTGGAATATATTGATTCACTCCTTCTTGTACCTCACCCACAAAGAGTCTAAATTATGAATATTCATGGAGCTCATAAAACACGAAATTAAAAGACTTGGCACATCTCAATATTTCCATAAACACAAAGTCTTTTGTAGGTAGAGATCGGACGATTTCTTCTGGTACCTCCCCCACATAGGGTTCTAGATTTTTGAAAAACAAAACGCTCAAAGAAAGGGGGGTAAGCTTCCAACTCTCTTCAAATTTCACACATCCAAACATATTTTCTAACGCAAGATCTGTTGTAAAGTTGATAAATATCTGCCAATCTCTTCTCTTAGCTCACCTACAAAGGGTCATAATTTCCAATAATTAGATTTGTCATAACTTGCGAAACATGTCGGCGATTCTTTAAAACTAGCTTTATCTGAATATTTCTCTTAACCAGAAATCTGATACAACTATGTATTTTATCGGAATTTAAGATTTCGAATAACATTGGATATAAATGTTCGATTTCCTTCAAATGTTATTAGATGAAGTATGAAAATGGAATACTTCGGTCCGTTATTTCTTTTACCTCACGCAAATTTCCACATTTTCCAAAAAATTTGCACATGAGATAATCTGGCACGTTGTAATATTTTTCTCAGTCTTATGTCAGATACGAATTGTTCGATATTGGCCAACTGCTTTGGAACCTCCCTCATAACGTGTTAACAGTTTGAAAAATCATAATTCAAGGCTGGGGGTATAAATATGTTGGCAAAATCGATAATATCATTTTTTATTTTTTATACCCTCTACCATAGTATAGAGGGTATTTTAAGTTTTTCATTCCGTTTGTAACACCTCGAAATATACATTTAGACCCCACAAAGTATATATATTCTGGATCAGCACAAAATTCTATTTCGATTTATCAACGTCCGTCCGTCTGTCTGTCTGTGGAAACCACTCTAGCTTCCGAACGAAATGAAGTAAATTGATAAAAATTTACTCAAATGTCTGCAGGACTTTTGATATTGAAAATGAGCCATGTGGGTCGTATAGCCCCCATATAACGGTCCCCCCAATATTCCGTATTTGGAAGATGTTAGCGACATTATTTACCGGAATTGTTTCAAATTTGGTATTTGAAGTTCGTAATGGATACCACAGTCTAAAACAGAAAATTGTCTGTGCAGGTCCACGTTTTCATATAGCCCCCATATAACGGTACCCCCGATATTCGGTATTTGGATGATTTTAGCGACATTATTTACCGGAATAGTTTCAAATTTGGTATTTGACGTTCGTAATGGATACTACGACCTATGCCAGAAAATAGTCTGTGCAGGTCCACGTCTTTATATAGCCCCCATAAAACGGTTCCCTCCGATATTCGGTATTTGGATGATTTTAGCGACATTATTTACCTGAATTATTTCAAATTTTGTATTTGAAGTTCGTAATGGATACTACAGCATATCACAGGAGATTGTCTGTGCAGGTTCACGTCTTCGCATAGCCCCCATATAGCTGTACCCCCCTATATTCGGTATTTTGATGATTTTAGCGACATTATTTACCGGAATTGTTTCAAATTTGGTGTTTGAAGTTCGTAATGGATTCCACAGCCTAAGACAGAAAATGTGCCATGTAGGTCCACGTCTTCGTATAGCCCCCATATAACGGTACCCCCGATATTCGGTATTTGGATGTTGCTAGCGACATTATTTACCGGAATTGTTTCAAATTTGGTATTTGAAGTTCGTTATGAATGCTTCAGCGTAAAACAGAAAATTGTCTGTGCAGGTCCACGTCTTCATATAGCCCTCATACAACGGTTCCCTCCGATATTCGGTATTTGAATGATTTTAGCGACATTATTTACCGGAATTGTTTCAAATTGGGTGTTTGAAGTTCGTAATGGATACTACAGCCTATGCCAGAAAATTGTCTGTGCAGGTCCACGTCTTCATATAGCCCCCATATAACGGTTCCCTCCGATATTCGGTATTTTGATGATTTTAGCGACATTATTTATCTGAATTATTTCAAACTTTGTATTTGAAGTTCGTATTGGATGCTACATCCAAAAACAGAAAATTGTCTGTGCAGGTCCACGTCTTCATATAGCCCCCATATAACGGTACCCCCGATATACGGTATTTCGATGATTTTAGCGACATTATTTACCTGAATTATTTCAAACTTTGCATTTGAAGGATACTACAGGCTATACCAGAAAATTGTCTGTGCTGGTATTCGGTATTTTATTTATTTTAGCTACATTATAAACAGATTTTTTTTTTTCAAGTTTAGCATTCTAATATTTTAATAGCTTATGACAAAAGTTACCTATGCAGGTCCACGTCGTCGTATATACCCTAATATTCGGCTACATTTGGTATTTTTAAGATTTTAACAGAATTTTTAATGGATTTTATTTTTTTTGAAAACTGTCAAATTTATACCAAATGGTGAAGGGTATTCAAAGTTCGGCCCGGCCGAACGTACAGCTTTTTTACTTGTTTTGATTATTATTTGATTTTAGCTAAATCACAAATACACGAACAAGTCAATGCTGATATCCAAGATATAGTTCAAGAACGAATTTTGATAATTCGCAAAAATGGGGGATTTAAAATAGATCAAAGAGATTGTTTAGATTTTTCAGTTACTCCACAGTTCTCAACTAAGGATATTTTATGAGGCTAGAGGACAACGCAGTAGCCTTGCATTTTGGATGGTCATCGGATAATATTCAAAAAAAAAGAAAATTATGGTTTTAAGGTTTTAGGTAATCGCAAAAAACTGGAAAAAGGAAGTTTTCCACATTCCAATATTTTTTATCAGTATTATATGAGGTTTGAAAGTGGCATACACCGGTCTACTCTTTCTAGTACGTCTCCCATAAATGTTCAACATTTTTCAAAAAATATATAGGCATATTCCATATAAGAGGAATTAGTCAATATAGCCCAAACCTGAAATGTCGAAATATTTATATCAGATTTATAAATGGATATAGGCTAAGGGTATAGATTAGATGGCAAAATCTGCTGCCATTTTTAAACTTGTTGAACTAAACAAACATTTTGGCAATTCCACGAAGTGAATGAGAATTATTTGTATTTTTTAAAAAAAGAAGTGTTGGTAAATGCTAGTGATAAGCAATAATGTTGATTGTAGAAGGTGTAGTAAATTTATGAACAGAGAGAAAGAGAGAGGGAGAAAGTAGAAGATCTACTTTAAAAATGTTCTCTATATATAGAAACCCTCTCAACGGATCTTCCGTTATAGGCCCTTTTAATAGGTACTCTTAAAATAAACAACCTTTCTCTAGGTTTTCTCAATATGGAAATATTCACACAACCGCAAGATTCTGATATTTTCCTTTGAAGGTGATTCTATTCTCATGGCGTATTTACTATCGACCGCACTAAAACCCCTGACTGTTCACTTTGAAGTCATTCTGATATCTTGACAAGATAATCCGATTTCAGTATCATTTCAAACATGCAGCACTGCATTCGATTTTTTGCATTTCTTGGCATTTTCTGCACACTTAGTCAAGTGTTTGTGTCGGCACAATATTTTGAATATAAGGAAAGGAAATGGTATGCCTTTAATGGAACCCTTTATCAGCTTCAAGTGGAGTCAGGGGTAAGCGAAATTCAAAATTAAGGGAATCTATATAGAAAACTAAATTCCATATACCTGTTTCAGTATAAATGGAAGGAAGCCATGGAAACGTGCCGTAAGGAGGGTCTACATTTGATTAGAGCCGACCCCGAATTTCATCCCGATGAAATGAAAATGATGTTACAGGAAAGAGTTCGTAAGTTGATTGAATTATAAAATTTTTTTCCGGTTGATTTATTTTTTTATTCTCTTCAAAGGCGTTTACTCTCCATTTTGGATTGAAAATAATGTCACAAAATCATCTGTGGCCAATGCATTTGGCTTTAAAACTGCAAAAGGCCAAAAGCTGTGCAATAAACTGGACAATATAACTTTTGCCATCCAGACGACATCCTGTGATGATCATTTGGGCTTTATTTGTGAGAAAGCGCTCTCCAAAGGCAGATTAAGCCATCAAATTAACAATACGGAATATTTTATTGAACCACAGGCTAAGGTGAGTTATGAACGGCATTTAGGAAATTCTGAGGTAAAGAACACACAGCAAAGTTACGGAGGGCTTTCTGAGAGGTGCCTTTAGAAAATATAGAAAAATGCGTTCTACAGGCAGATGCCCGGGAGGATTATTTATATTTTTATTATTTATTATTTTTTAGCTTTAAAGGCCCTTTTGAAGGTCGTCAATCTATAGAAGACTAAGTGGGGGTCTAGCATCTATAGAAGACCCCGTAAGAGACTTATTTAGGGCCTTTTATCTATGAAAGACCTCTTGAAGCTATCTATGGAATACCTTTTGGTGGTCTTCTCTACATAGATGACCTCTTGAAGGATTTTTATGTATGGTAGGCCTGTTGAAGATTTTCTAAATATTGCAAACCCTCCAATGGTATTCTCTCTATGGAAGATTTTTCAAGCTAAACTTTATTTGGTAAACTTCTTGAAGGTCTTTTATATATAGATTACTTCTTTAAGGGATCTATCTATGGAAGACCTCTTCAAGGTTCTCTATCTATGGAAGTTAATCTAAAGATCTTGTATCTACTGAAGGCCACTTGAAGTTCTTATATTTGCTGAAGACATCTTGAGGGTCTTCTAGATCTTTTGAAGGACTTCTATTTATGGAAAACCTCTTGAAGGTCTTCCATATATGGAAAACATTCTGAAGATCTTGTATCTACTGAAGACGTCTTGAAGGTCTTCTATCTATGGAAGACAGCCTTAGGGTCTTTTAGCTATGGTAGGCCTCTTCACTGTATTTTAGTTATGGAATAGCTCTCGAAGGTCTTTTGACTATGGAAGGCCTCTTCAAGGTCTTTTAGCTCCGAAAGACCTCTTCAAGGTTTACTGAATACCTTTTGAGTATGTTCTATTTATGGAAAATCTCTTAGAGCTCATCTATTTTTGGAAAATCTTTTGAGCGCCTTATATCTATGGAAGACATCCTAAAAGAATTGTTTCTACTGAAGGACACTTGAAGGTCTCCTATTTATGGAAGACCTCTTCAAGTTCTTTTAGCTATGGAAGACCTTTTAAAGGGCTTCTATCTATGGAAGACCTCCTGAATGTCTTCTCTCTACTGAAGGCCACTTGATGGTCTTCTGTATATTGAAGACCTCCAGAAGGTCTTCTGTCTATGTAGTCTTTCAGGATCTTTTAGGTTATCGAGAAAACCTCTTAAAGGTCTTTTATTTATGGAAAACCTCTTAAAGATCTTCTATCTATGGAATATATCTTGAAGGTCTTCTATGTATGGAAGACATCCTGAAGGTCTTGTGTCTATTAAAGGCTACTTGAAGGTGTTCTATCTACGGAAGACCTCTTGAAAGTCTTCTATTTATGGAAGACCTCTTGATGGTCTTTTAACTATGGAAGACCTCCTGAAAGCCTTTTATCTATGTGAGATTTTTTAAGGTCTTCTTTCAATGGAAGACATCTTGAATGTCTTCTATTTATGAAAGTCCTCCTTCTATATACATGTAGATGACCTCTTGAAGCTCTTATGTATATCGATGATCTCTTCAAGCTCTTCTGTATATAGATGACCTGTTAAAGGGCTTCCATTTAAAGTCTTCTTGAATTTCTTCTCTTGATAGAAGACTTTCACGAGGTTTTCCATCAAACGTATTGTACTTTCTATAGCTCTTCTGGTGATGAAAGACCCTCTGGAGGTGATCTGTTCAGGGAAATCTTTTACGAAACCTTTCTCCGATAAGATACCTTTAGATGGCCTTCTATCGTTAAAAGCCCTTTAGAAGGTCTCTTAAAAAAAACTTTAGATAGTCTTCTGTCTAGAGGAGGCGTTCAGCAAATTTTTCACCCATTAGACCCTTTAGGAGGTCTTCTGTCAATAACATATCTTTAGGAAGTGATCTCTCCATAAAAGTCTTTCTGGGGATGTTCTGTCTATAAAAGACCTTTTGCGGGCCTTCTGTTTTTAGAAGACCCTTGAAGGTCCTATAGAATTCAAATCTTCTTCAGATAGGTATTCTGCAGTTAGAATGTTTACGAAATATCTTCTATAGATAACTCTTACTATACATACATTTTATAGACCCTTCATCCTCCGATCGAATAAAAATTCAATTTAAATCAGTTCCATTAACAATTCATTGCACATTTCTTTTTCTAGTATTCCTGCAGCGAGGCTGAAGAGCAATGTCGGTTGAAAAAGATGACCCTGGTGGTGAGACAACCCTACAGTAATAATACAAAATTACAGGAATTTGTTTTCCTAAATTTCGGTAGGTATCGTAGGCCTTACAAATACTCCATATAAATTCTGCCTCATAATTTCGTTAATTTCCATTTATTTCCTTTTTCCCCTTTCACCAGGTAACACACCCTCATTTTGGTTTAAAACCGCCAATACCAGTGGCGCTTGTATACCGCTGGATTTTATGAAACGTTCTGAAGACACGGACAAGCATGGATTTATTTGTGAGAAACCAGTTGTCAAGCGCAAGATGACGGAACGTCATTGGGTACTGATCGCCAGTACATCGACTGTGGTTGTCATAGCCATAATTGTTTTAGTTGTCTATAAAACGTGTACGGTCTGGAGAGCAAAGTGGAATATGGAAGGGAAATAATCTTGAAAAATAGTTAATATTTTAATAAATAAATAAAAATAAAATGGTTCTAAAACAGTTGCCGGTTAAGTTTTATCTAAAGCGAAAAGATCTAAAATAGAGTATTTGAAAGATCGTTCAGTTTGACCATGAGGTGTACTTTCGGCCAAATAGTCTTTCAAAATATTCCTTAAAAATTTTATAATTTTTGGTCCTGCAAAAAACAAAAAAAAAAAAAAAACAAGCAAAAAAGCAGTAAGTTCGGCCGGGCCGAACTTTGAATACCCTCCACCATTTACAACAAATTTTGAAATTATCAAAAAAGATAACATTTGCCAAAAATTCTGCTAACATCTTAAAAATACCGATTATAGTCGTTATATTAGGGTCTGTACGACGTGCACCTACATAGGCATTGTTTTTCACAAGCCATTACCATATTTAAATTCGAAACTTGAAATAAACGGTCAATAATGTAGCTAAAATCATCAAACTACCGTACATGGGAGGTATATCGAAGCTATATGAAGACCTGGACCTGCATAGACAATTTTCTGTCACTGGCTGTAGCTTCCATTACCAACTTCAAATACGCGTCTTAATCAATTTCGGTGGGTATTGTACCTAAACTCGCCAAAATGCCGAATATAGGGAGGTACTGGTATGTGGGGCTTACAAGAAGACCTGAACCTGCATAGACAATTTTCTGTCACAGACTGTAGTTCCCATTACGAACTCTAAATACGTAATTTGAAACAATTCCGGTGAATAATGGCGCTAAAATCATCAAAATACCGAATTTTGGGAGGTACCGTTATATAGGGGCTATACGACAGTTTTCTATCTTAGGCTGTAGTATCAATTTCGAACTTCAAATACCAAATTAATAATGTCGCTAAAATCCTCAAAATACCGAATATCGGGAGGTACCGTTATATGGAGGCTATATGAAAACGTGGACCTACATGGCCCATTTACGAATTTAACCTGCCTACTTGAAAAATAAACATGTGTGTAAAATTTTAGCCTTCTATCTCAATTCGTTCGAAATATTACAACAGACAGGCGGACAGACAGACAGACAGACGGACATGGCTAAATCGTCTTAGAATTTTACGCTGATCAAGAAGAGGAACGGATGGAGCTGGAATCCTGTCAATTGAATTTAGCATTGCAGACGGAGTGTAGGATTGGGATATGGAGGAAATTTTCGAAATTTGTGACTTTGTGCACGAAAAGTACTAAATAGTACTTAATTTGGTACAATTTCGATTTGGAATTCTGAAATTTTGAAATAAGATTAATATTAGATTTTAGGACAGACCAAAGAATGGCAAATTTCGTACTTATGTGTACTAAATGGTACTAAATTTGATACAATTTAAATTTTGGGTGATTCCTACTAGATTGCATGATGTAGGTAGTTGTGGAAATTTGTACTTATATGTACTAAATGGTACTAAATTTGGTACAATTTAAATTTAGGTGAACCAATATAGCTGGTATCCTGAAAATTGGTATTAAGATAACTGTCGGAGTGTTGGATTAGAATATGGAGGTAATTTTGGAAATTTGTACTCATATGTTTTAAATGTACTAAATTTGGTACGATTCGGATTTGGGTGAACTGTTAGAGAAACTTGGAATAAGTTTCCTATGGGATTGTATGATTGAGATATGAAGGTAGGTTTGGAAATTTGGAGTATAAGATTGAGGTATATAGGGAGTTTTGGAAGTTCGTATTTCTGTGTACTGAATTTTGTACTATTTGGATTTTTGTGAATCCGAAATTTTATATTAAGGTTACTGTTAGTGTCTGCGGTTAAGATCTGGAGGTGATTTTCCAAATGTGTACTATAATTGTACGAAAAGTATCAACTAGTACTAAATTTGGTATGGGGTGAAGGAATAGAGCTGAAATCCTGAAATTTGATATAGATGTCACTGTTGGTGTCTGTGGTTAAGCTATGGAAGTGGTTTTGGACATGTGTACTATAATTGATCGAAAAATGGTAAGTGTTACTAAATTGGGTATTAAGTGAAGGAGTAGAGCTGAAAAACTGAAATTTTATATTGATCTCACAGTTGGTGTCTTTGGTTACGATATGGAGGTGGTTTTGGACATATGCACTATAATTGTGCGAAAAGTACTAACTGGTACTAAATTTGGAATTGGGTGAAGGGATAGAGCTGAAATACCGAAATTTGACATTGAGGTCTATGTTGGTGTCTGCCGTTGAGATCTGATGGTTGTTTTGCAAAATTTATACTATAATTATTCGAACATTACAAAATGGTACTAATTTTAGAACACGGTGTCTAGTAATTATCCAAATTTACTTTGAAAATCAGGATCTAGAGCAGTTGGCAAATGACCCGTTGTTTTATCGCAAAATTGTTTTCAGCGATAAGGCGCATTTTTGGCTTAACGGGTTTGTTAACAAGTTAAAAAGTATCAGTCGGTATTGCCGCCAGAGATATACCCTCAGCCTATGTTCGAATATCTAAATATATTTTGACTAGTGTTAAGGTTATTCAAACGTTTGACCCTCTATGAAGCAGATCCCGAAGGAATGTGGTGGGTATGATATAAATATTTCGACAGATGTGCCAAGTCTAAATGGAACGGATGTTAATTTGGCGATTTATGAGCTTCATGGGTACTCAAAATTTCAATATTTTGTGGAAGAGGTACTAGAAGGAGTGGACCGATGTATTCCCCCCTCACACCAGACCATGGGTTAATAAAAATATTAGGATGTGTGAAATTTGAAGACAATCGGACTTTTACATCACATTTAATGAGATTGTAATTATTCAAAATTTTGACCATTTGTGGGGGAGGTACTTGATGGAGTGGACCGATATTGTCCATTTCCCCACCTGCCCTAGCACTGACACAAATATTAGGATTTGCAAAGTTGGAGTAAATTCGGATTAGCCTTACTCTTTCTGTGCAAAAAATATATTTTTTGAACATTTCGACCTTTTGTAGGGAAGGTACCAGAAGGAGTGGACCGATATTGCCCATCTCCGAACTCGATCTAAGTTTGACAAAAATATTACGATGTACCAAGTTTGGACAAAATCGGATACTCCCTTCGAGAGTTATCGTGCGCACCAGCCAGACAGACAGACAGACGGACGGACATCGCTAGATCGACTCCAAATGTTCTGAAACGGATTTGGTCCAAAGAGACCTAGGGTCTAAAACCGTCATTTCGGCACGTTTTGGCCGTATCAAATTATATATACCCTCTGTAGCCATATGGCTGAGGGTATAATAAGCAAAATTGCCGCATATGGAGTGCGACCAATCCACAAGAGACCCATTACATCCAGAAAAATGCACCGAATGGTGCGATTTTCATGCTGGTGGCATCATCGGACCGGATCTCGCGTTACGGTCAATGGAGATCGTTACCGCACCATGATCAATGATTTTTTGTTTAAAAATATGGATGACATTGATCCGGAGGAGATGTGGTTTCAACAGGATGGCGCTACGTGCCATACGGCGAACGCAACCATCGTCTTATTGAAATCAAAATTTGGCGATAAGCTTATTTCGAGAAGTGGACCTGTCAATTGGCCTCCAAGGTAGTGCGATTTGACACCTCTCGATTATTTTCTGTGAGGCTACGTGAAGTCACTGGTTTATGCTGATAAACCAGCAACAATTGACGCCTTGTAGGCCAGCATTGTTCGTGTTATTCGTGACATACGACCAGCAGTGCTCGAAAAAGTGGCCAAAAATTTGACGTCCAGAATGCACTTCGTAAAGAACAGCTGCGGTGGCTATATGCCCGAAATCATTATACCCTACACCACATAGTGGTAAGGGCATTATGTCTTTGTGCATTTGTTTATAACATGGAGAAGGAAGCGAGATAGACCCATAGTTACTTTTGAGGATCTCCATAGAATCACTTTCTGAGTTGATTTATGCATGTCAGTCCGTCTGTCCATGTATTCTTGTGAACAAAATTCAGGTTGCATTTATTATCCGATTGAGATGAAATTTCCCAAACAACATTTGTTTGGCCCAAGGACGAACCCTATTGAAATTGGAGATAATCGGTAAAAATTTAGATATAGCTCCCATATATATCTTCGTCCGATTTGCCTTTTATTGTGCACCAAACGTGTAATATCTGCCCGAATAGTATGGGATTTTGCACATACAACCAAATTAGGCCTCAAAATAAGTATGCCAAATTTGATCGAAATCGGTTCAGATATAGCTATAGCTTCCATATATATTGTTCATTTGATTTGTTATTTTTGTACTCCGCAGCCGTAATATGCGCTCTGTAACAACAATATTTGGGGAAATATATCAAATGCAGCTCAGAAATACCTTTGCTAAATTTTATCGAGATCGGTTCAGATTTGGATATAGCTCCCATATATAACTTCGTCCGATTTACCTTTTATTGTGCACCAAACGTCTAATATTTGCCCAAATGTGATGGAATTTGGCACATACGACCGAATTTAGTCTAGAAGGTAGTATGCCAAATTTGGTGAAGATCGGTTCAGATATAGTTATAGCTCCCATATATATTGTTCTTCCGATTTATTGTATTTGTTACCCACAGCCGTAATATGCACTCCGTAACAACGATATTCAGGGAAATATATCAAATACAGCTCAGAAATATCTTTGCCAAATTTTATCAAGATCTCTTCAGATTTGGATATAGCTCCCATATATCTTTATCCGATTTCAAATTAATTGTGTACCAAATGGGCAATAAAAGTCCGAATTTGAGAGATACAAATGCTTCGGCATATTTAGTCCATTGAACTTTAAATTATAATTATAATCCTAGAGTGTATGAATGAATTCTCCCTTAAAAAATTTTAATTGTTATGCCGAGCTCTACTGAATTAGCAAAATGGTGTAGGGTATCATAAAGTCGGCCCCGCCCGACTTTAGGACTTTCTTTACTGGTTTTCAAATGTTAATGTCACGTATTGATCTTTCGAATAAAAACAAAAATTTTGATTAAAATTTAATTTTTTGTGTTATTTTTTACAATTTCAAGTTCTATCAGAT